GTCAACTTGCCCTAGAAGCTGTTGGATTTTCATATCTGACACCAGCATCCTGTGTATAACATCACAGCTTTGTACAGCAGTGCCTTGGTTCACAAATGCTTCTGTTTGCAAACAATTCAGATAACAAACAAACAGAAGAGTTCGGCAACATTTTGCTTCTGTTCACGAACCCCCGCATCAGGTGACAAACACAACCCCAGCCATCTTTGCCAGAATTGTGGAGTGAATTAAGTTTGTGAAGTGAGGCACACTGTACTTAGTATGAAGAACTTTGACTAACAGGAAATGCTGAGTTACTGTCTGCAGCTCTCAGAGCCTTCTCCCTGCATAATGTCCTGACCTTGTGAGAGGGCTGAAGGACTTTCAGTGTTTAAGTTGCTGAAAAACACGTGAGGGTGGTGTAGAAGAAACACATACCAGTTCCAACAGTAATAGGCCAAGCTAAACTTGCATCATAATCTTGGCCTCAACATTTTTTAAATGGTCAACATGTCCACGTGCAGAGTGGAGGAGTAGGATCTGACTCAAGGTTAAAGATAGCAAAGGAGAGAAATAATATGAAGAAGAGATACCAAGCCTTTTCTCCCATTCCTGTCACCCATCAGACAATGTAGGCCCTAGAGGACAGTCAACCATCTTAGCAAAGCAGACTTCAGGGCCCTGGGAAGTATGGAGGCAACTGCTGTCACAACCAACACGTAGAGCTGTCATCTACAGCAGTGCTAGAGGGAGACTAATCATGTACTGCCCAGCTGTGTGACCTCCAAAATTAATGATCTCAAGCTGACTACGAGCAAGTGAAACTAGAGGGCTTATTTAGGTTTTTTTCTTGGTAACAGTTTCTCATTTTGTGCGAACATTTTGCTTATGTGGTTTTATCAAGGTCTCACAGTAGTGGTCTGTTGCAAAATGGCATGTTATAGAGGGTAATAATTTACTGCACCCAGGGACTTGTTCTGTCATCCTAGCTTTCCATCCCATCCATGTCCCACCGTGGTCATTCCTAAATGTCTGAGTATTACAGTCTGCTCGTTCTGTTTTCCAGCGACAGACCCCTGGGCCACTTTTGAGCTATTATAAGTAATGGTGGCTATGGCCACTTATGTACAAGCCTTTTTGTGGACGTGTGTTTTGCTTCTCCTGGGAGCAGAAGCACGGGGTCACAGAGCAGGTGCATGTTCAGGTTTATAAAATCTACCAGACCCTTTTGCAAAGTGCTTATACCAGTTTACATTTACATCAACACGATGTGAGAGTTCTGATTGTTTCCCACCCTCACCAACGTGTGGCATTGTCAGTCTTTTTAATTCTAGCCATTCTGGTGGTTGTACCGTGGTATCCCATTGTGGTTTTAATTTGCATTTGCCTAATGACTGAGGATTCTGAGCAATTTTCACCTGCTTATGAGCCCATTTACATATCTTCTTATTCGAAGCATCTGTTCAAATCTTTTGAGCCCCCGTGTTTGACATGGTTTGCTGGTTCTGTATTACAGCTGTATTTTACAGATATTTCTCCCAGCCTGGTGGGCAGAAGTGTTGACACAGCCCAGTGGATCTGTTTTTCTCTTACAGTCGATGCTGTCTGTGTCTGGTCAAATACTTTCACCTTTGGGTTGGGAGGAAGAGCTGGAGCCCTGCAGGCACTGAGGTGGACGGGACATCTTGAGGAGGGGCAGGTGGGAAAGTTTAGGTTCTCTTGGGGTGATGGACAGCAGGCTTGGGTGAATGTTTTTGGGGTCAAGGATCCAGAAAGAGAATGATAGATATTAGGGACTGGGCTGGATTCACTGAAGCTCTTAGAGTAGGGAAGGGACAAAATCACAAGGGAATGAGGTGGCACAGTCCCTGTGACTCCAGTGGAGCCTGGGGCAGAGTTTCTACTTGGTCACCAGCACAGGAGCAGCTTTATGCCTCCAGATGCAGATACAACTGCAAGGAGAAGTGGATCCTTGCTGTGTGTTCTCAGAGACCCATGAGGCCCCAGCAAATCTTCTCCTGGACCTGAAAGCCCCATGACTGATCTGGGGAAGCAGCAAACCAAAGCCAGAGGCCCAGCCCTTCCCTCTTCCCTGGGAAGTTGCTCACATGCACAGATTGAGGGTCAGAGCCCTCCACACGCCTGGCCTTGTTTCCTCCCCATCTCTCCTTGTCACCTACCCACCCGCTCAGGGTTCCTCGGGAGCAGGAGCCCCAGGCTTCAGAGCTTGCTCTTGGTTCCAACTGGACATCTCTTCTACATTTCCTGCAACCAGGGGTTTAGTCCAAAGTCTCCCAGTGGAGGCTTTTCTGGTCTCCTGGTTTAGAGTTTCCAATGGCCCTTACCTCCGCATCTTGAAGTACCACCGTGGGACACACTCAAGCTATGCACTCCCCAGGACTGCCTGTCCTGGCCCCCCGGAACGTAAATGTAAATGTCATGAAGGTTTGGGGTCTGTCTCTCCATCTCTCTGTCTCTCCATCTCTCTGTCTCTCTGTCTCTCTGTCTGTCTCTCTGTCTCTCTCTCTCTCTCTCTCTCTCTCTCTCTGTCTCTCCTTCTCTCTCTTTCTGTTTTGCCATTTTGTTCATGCCTCTACCCCATGCCTAGAACAACATCTGCCACTCGAAGGTCCTCAGAAATATTCGTGGCATGAATGAATGAGAGGCCATCTGCCTCCTCTCCAGAGTCTGCCTGATGGCAGACCTAGTTCTACAGGACAAAATGGGATATGCCCAGGGCCCACCTAGGGCACCAGCAGATGGAGGAATCTTCCCACCCCTGTTGTGCAAATGAGGAAACTGAGGCCCCAAGTGGGAGGGACTTAGCCAAGGAGCCCACGACGCTCACTGCCAGCAGCAAAGCAGAGCCCTGACTGGCACCTGGGGAAGGCCCTGAGTCCAGACAGATGTTCCAGGATGGTTGTAACAGGTGTCTTGGTACCAGAGGACAGATACTGTTGTGTTTATGAGTGGAGCTAGAGGGAACTGCGGGCCCCAGGGTACTTCTTTGCTGGATGGTTGTAGCCTTCACCCTCTCACCTTCCTTTGCAGAGGAGATGGTGAGACTGGGAAGGGGTCAGTGTCCTCTGGGCCACCAGCCTGGAGCTTCCAAGGAGACTGTTCACCTCATGCACAGCCTTGGAATCCATGGGACAGCCTCCCCACCCCACCTAGCCCTGATTCCTGCCATTTCCAGCGACATTCCTGTTTCCCCAGGGACCCAGCTCTGCCTTCTGTGTGGGCTGCAGGCCGTGGATCCAGAGGCAGATCCCGTGTGTGTGTGAGTGTGTGTGTGTGTTTGTGTGACAGGAGGGAATTATTAGCCTTTGGACAGCTTCACCTGACGATCAGATGTTCCTCCTCCTGCCTAACCTTCCTGCCCTCTTTCAGCAAATTCAGTGAAGCTAGAACTTCCTGTCCCTCCCTCCTTTGGGGGAAAACGGTATCATCGTGATGTCTGAGTCCTGCTACTCTGCCTCTCGGGAGTGTGCCACTATCGCACGTTCTGTTATAGGGCTCATCCTGGCCTCACCACCCACTCCCAAGTGGCTCCTTACAGCAAAGCCCTGCACACTTCCAGAAGGAGCCCCAGCCCTACTCACTGCTGCCCCAGCAGTGTCACAGAGGCAGAGGACAAACTGAGAGGCTCCGTGCCGCTTCCTGGTCCTATACGAGACTGGTTTTGTCTGATTGGTTTCCAACCCCACAGATACCACTGTGAGAGACCTAGTTCTCAGGTAGAACACCACCAGAACTCTCAACCCACTTGCCTCCAGGGGCCATGGAACAGATATGGCTATTCCTTCCCCAGATTCAAAACGAGCCTGTGTGTGCTGGAGTGGGGAAGATGAGAGAGTTGGAGTGGGTCCCACATCTCTTAAACCAAGCAGAGTGATGGACAGTATGCCAGGTCTCTGGGCCCTCAGATCAGTTTTGCTACTTCTTGAGTCTGTGAACTTCCTGCTTCATCCACGCTGAGGTGGAGAGTGTTGACTGGGAGGGGCCATAAAGGAATTTTCAGGAAAGAATGTTCTATATCAGTGCTGTCCAACAGAAACTTTGAACATAACACAAGTCCCAGAGTTGTTAAATTTTTCTAGTAACCACATTAAAACAATAAGAAGAAATTAATTTCATGTTTACTTAAGCAGACATTTCGATATATAATCTATATAAAATACTATTAACGAGCTCTGTTATGTTCTTTTCTTCATACTAAGTCTCCCAAAGCCTGTATTTCATGGCATGTCTCGGTTTGGATCAGCCATTTTGAAGGCAGGTGACCACTTGTGGTGAATCGTCATGGCGTTGGATAGCACAGGTCTCTCTCTCTCTCTCTCTCTCTCTCTCTTAATCTGGGTGATAGTACATGGGTGTAGCCATGTAAAGCAGTACTTGCTGTACCATAGAGACTTGTGCATTTTGCTGCCCATACGTTACTCTTCAGCTAAAGGTATTTTAAAATCTTCTACATGGCTCTCTTCAAATGCCACCTGTGCTCTTCTGAGCCCCGAGTTGCGAGTAACACTGGTGTTCCACTCCTGTTATATTTATTCCCTCTTTGTTTATAGCCTGCTGCTTGTGTGTATGCCTCACTCAGTTTATTTTTTATTCTTCACTTGATCTATCGATTGATTGATGGGTGGATGGATGGATTGAAGGACTGGGGATAAAACCTAGGACCTTTGCACTGACCTGTTACATCTCCATCCCTTTTTTAAAGTATTTTTATTTTGAGATAAGGTCTTGCTAAATTGCCCAGACTGGGCTCAATCTTGTGACCCTCTTATATTAGCCTACCAAAGTGTTTAGATTACAGGCATTCAACACTATGCCTGGTTTCACCTGCTTTATTATAAGTGCCTTAAGGTGTAGACATGGTCTCTCCGTTATGTGATCCTCCAAAGCCCCCAGGTACATAGATGTAAGGAAATAAGCTGGGTTGAATTTAACCCTCACTCACTGTGTACCTCTCTGGTCCAGCTGCAGGACAGGCTGATCATTTGATTTCTGTCTCTCAGTCCTGTTCCAGATGTCGACAGAGGAGAGGGAGAGGAAGAGGAAGAGGAAGACAGTGTGGGACTGCATCTGCCAGCCATCTCAAAGAACTGCCTTCCCCGCCGAGGCGTTAGTATCCTGGAGAAGCTGATCAAAACGTGCCCCATTTGGCTGCAGCTGGGGCTGGACCGAGCAGAGGTGACCCGAATCCTACACCGGGAGGTGGCTGGGGTGAGTCAGCACCAGCAGGCACAGCTCAGGGAGCTCTGGGGACTCATTGGGGAAGCAGCTGTGGCCCGACAGCTGCCTGTCCAATCTCCTTTCTTGTCTTGGTCTGCTTTCAGCCCCAGTGTTTCTCAGAGTGCAGTGGTGGAGTCTGTGGGAGGACTGGTTTCTGCTTTGGGGAGCAGGGAGTGGGTGGAGGGTGGGCCTTGCAGGACACTGAGACTGGATAGGCAGGACTAGGAGGGTCTGGAAGCCATACTGAGGGTTCAACCAGGAGGCTGGGAACCAGAGAGTGTCAAGATGAGGGTAGTTTCAGACCCCTTTACTTCACAGTTGGAAGTACGAGGCTCTGTGGTGGTCAAAAGTTATTTTGGAGTCAGGCTGTGGGAGTGGGCCAACAGTTTTAAGTTTTCTGAGGCTCACCTTTTGTCATTTTGAAAAGGGGATATTAACACTCCTTCCTAGGGGTTCTGTTCCTACTACATAGCAAGAGAGCTGGTTGACTGGTGCTCTCAGCACCAGCTCTTATCCCTCCAGCAGCCCTAGACAGCAGGGCCACAGGAGGACACACAGCTCTGTGGTGGTAGCAGTGTGTCTGCTAAGTGGTGGGACCTGACACGAATCCACAACTGATAGCCTTCAGAGGTTTTAAAAAACAATGTGGTGACCTGGCCTCACCCCCAGAAATGCTTATTTCTCTGGTTTGGGTTGGGCCTCAGCCATTTGTGTGTGTGTGTGTGTGTGTGTGTGTTTTGTTTGTTTGTTTGTTTGTTTTTTTCAGCTTTAATTGAGTTTATTGGTACATTTTAGGGATACAGTACAGTTACATTCATTGTTGGGATCTTGTACCTCTACATGACAAGTCTTG